TCCTCAACGCTCCTTACTTTTACACAAATAAAATCATCCTTAATGTTCCATATGTTTACGATCTGGCCCAATCCAGATACCTTTCCTTCCATAACAAACTGCAGAACCATCCGAATCCTCTCGTTTCAAACCTATAACCCTCCGAGGCGTTTGAAAAGAAGATGGCCTCGGGATCTTCTAATATAGAACTTTAGTTTGAGTTCTACCAATGGGTAGTTTCTCTTCATGTTGTACATGCCATGTTGCAAATTTCTCATTTACTTATTGTAATCTCTATGTAATACAGTTGTAAATTCCATTAAAATAATAAAAAAAAAAAAGAATAAAGATATCTATTAATCGCTATTTTTATTTTCATGAAAATGTAAATATTGGGGCAACAAAAATTTTAGTTTGTCACTGATAAATAAATATCAATTCTATGACGGAGATCTCGGAGAAAAACACAGTTTTATAACAGCTTAATATGTAATATTTAAAGAATCATTATTTTTAAATTTTATATATAAAATATATCTTAAAGCAGTTATATTTATTATGATACATCTCATGTAATGAAAAAACAAGAAATAAAATCTTTGAAACAATTATTTGGAGTCATTTTGGCAGAAACCACGGGTGCTTCAAAGTGACTAGATAGGAAATGACATCATTTCTTTACACAACTTGGGGTGAATCTTAAAATTTTTCCAAATAAATCTCCATTTAATTAATATAGACTTAAAACTTATTAAACGAAGAAGTTTTTCTAAAAGTGGGATAAATGTAGTACATTCGATGGAGGATAAAAAAAAAAAACCAAGTAATTTATGACTTTTTCTTAAACGAAACTTAACTGTATTTGTTCGACCAATAGTCCTCTTTAAATAGTTTTAACAATGACAAACTCAACTATCTTTTAAAGTAAATTTTGGACAATGTTTAATTACTTAAATCAAATATTTTTAAGTTATCCTATTCAACAAAAAACATGACTCGCATAAAAAAAATTAATAATTTTTTTTTGTTTTCTTTATTTAATGAAATTTACAACTGTATACTAATACAACTAGTAAATATGCGCAAATTATAAATAATGGCATGTACAGGCTTGAAGAGATACTACCCAGTGGTAGCACTCTATAATAATTTTAGGTAAGAAGATCACGAGGCCATCTCCTTTTCAGACGCCTTGGAGGATTATCAGGGATCGAGGAAGAAGCAATAGTTGAAACAAGCGGATTTGGATGGGACTGAAGTTTATCATGAAAGGATAGATATCTGGCTCGAGCTAAATCAGCGACATATGGTACATTAAGGTCTTTATAAATGGTTTTATTTGTGACAAAGTATGCAGCATTAAGGATTTTAAGGAGGATTTTGGATTGTAAGGATTGGATACGATGGTTTGGTGGAGCCCCAAAGCTCAACTCCGTATGTCCATATAGGTAGTATTATAGTTATGTAGATAAGTCTTTTTTAATTAATTGAAAGTTTGGAGCGTTTGTTTAGTAAGTGTTGGAGCAGTCGGAAACGTAAACAAATCTTAAATTTCCTACTTTTCTGATTGAAATTGGGCGATTGTTTATATGAACTTTTTTGTACTTCTTGATGTCTTCTATGAACCTTTTAAGTATTTCTCTCTAGATACGGGACACTCTGTATATATAGATTATACATATATGCAATTATATGCAAAAAAAAGAAATATCTTTGAAACTAGACAATTCAAAGATATTTCTTTTTTTTTTTTTTTTTTGAGCATTTTTTTGTTGTTGTTTATCGTTGCTTTGGTATTATTCAAATCATTAGATCAACAAGCGATAAATTTGTTGATTTACCTATACCCCTACAGATGGACGCAAAGTTGAGGTCCCATGCTCCTGAGGACGACCCCTGAGCAAAGTGGAGGGGTGGAAGTAGGTCGGGCTATATATCCCCCAGGGAATGGGGTGGGAGGCTACAACTGTCCCATCTCCTGTGACTCAGTGACTAGTCTTCTGCTACTCCTCAAAGGAACAACATCCACATTCTCTTAGTCCACTTCTACTGCAAAGTGAGTCTTATCTCTAATGTCTTACATGATAAAGTCATTCTAACAATTGTTGAAGGGTTTCAATTTCTTTTTTGTGGTAATTCTCAATGAAGGATCGAAGAAGGATAGTCAACTTATTTCTGGCATCTTGGAGTACCTGATCTATTTTCCAGAAATGGGATGTGTCGAATATTCAGGATATCATTGAGAAAATATGGAAAGAAAGTTACCTTGATTTTATTAAAAAAGACTTGAATTACTGGTAATTTATTTCAGAAAATTATACTTTTTCGTTTGATGGCTCTAAGTTACTTTGATAATATAAAAGAATACTTAATTTCATAGACAAAATAAAATAATCAATAAAAAAAATAACGAAAAGACTGCAATGTTGTCTCATTAATAATTTTATTTTTATTATATATAACAAACATGATTAAGACTAATAAAATTTAAAGCATCTTTGCAAAAATATTCACATAAAAAGATGCATTTGGTGTTTTGAAAAAAATAGTGATTTCAGAGCAATAAAGAAAATTTCTGTTAACAAAAAAATTACGAACTTCTTATAAAATAATTCCTTCATTTCTGATTGTTATCAGTGCTCAATAATATACAATAATAATCTTCCTAATATTTCTCAGAACTTTTATCATTCATTTTAATATTTAATTTATTTTATGTTTGTTCTCCATCTAAACATAATTCGTAAATCAACTCTTATTTTTGCCTGACTTGTCAGTTTCTTTATTTTTATCAGACCACCTGTTGATTGTCAATAAATCGTCAACAGGCGAATATTTTAAGCTAAAAATAAAATCTGTTTTAAGTTTTTATTCTTTAAACATAAATATCCTAGTAAAATTATTTGTTATTAAATAATAAATCTATTCAAATAACTCTAAATATAAAAATTACAAATGTTATATATTTCAAATGCGATGTATGTATTGTGATTTTTGGATAATACAATTTCAACCGATTAATAAGTATTTTTCAGAAATGAAATTATTTTTTATTAATTATTATAACAGGTAATAGAAAATTAATATTGAAGAAACTGAACCTAATTCATACAACAGAGATATAAATATTATTAGTTAGAATTACGTTTACTGTAATTAATTTAAACAATCATTTCTTGATATTGTGATAGCTTTAAGAAACACTTCTAGAAGATCTTCAGTTTCCCCAACGAAATATTCTCTAAACTCCTGAATATGTATTAAAAAAAATGATTTATTCACTGCATTCTGATTTTCTGATTCTTTACGACATGAAATAACATATATGATTAACTCATAAAGTAATTGTTATTTATAATACCATAATACTTATAACGTTATAAGATTATAAATGCAATTCAAGTCAATAGGTGCAAGAGTTAACTAAATCGTGTTAAAAATTAATATACTACTTTTTATTAAATTTATTGTTATATATTTTTTAGGCATGTTTTCTAAAGATACAAGTTCTACATTTTAATCTTTTTCTTTGCGAATTCAAAGTGCTTTATAAAATTTAAATTTATAGAACCGTTAAATGAATGTAATTGAAATAAAACCAAATCACAGATACAGTTATATTAGTACCGCTACATTAACGATATTTGTACTGAATCGTTTATTTCCAAAGTGGACCCGTATCACCATAGTTAAATTATAAGGAAACGTGAAAAGCTATAATTTCCATCCCAATATTAAAAGCAATATTTTAAAAAAAATAATTAAGAAATTATTTATTTGTTGGACTTATTTCTGAGAGTCATTGATAATTTTTATTTTATTATTGATATTTGCGTTTGTATTAAGAATAAAAATACATTCAATAAATGTGACAACAAGAAATAATAACATGAAAACACTAGTTGAGAAACTATCCCCTGGTAGCACTCTAAAAATGTATTTACAATAGGAGATCTCGAGGCCATCTTCTTTTCAGACGCCTCGGAGGGTTATCAGGAATAGAAGAGGAAGCCAGGTTAGAAACGAGATTGTTCTGATGTTGGATGGTTCTGATGTTCACTATGGAATGATAGGTATCTGGATTGGGCCACATCGGAAACATAAGGAACATTAAGGTCGGTATGGATGACTATTAGTGACAAAATAAAGAGCAGTGAGGATTTTACAAAGAATTTTGGATTGTAATAATTGGATACGTGAGGAATTTGATGGCTTTGTGGAGCCACAAATCTCAACTCCGTAAGTCCAAATAGATCTTATTGTCATGTATATGAGTCTTTTATAAATAACTAAAAGCTTAGAACGTTTTTTCTAGTAAGTGCTGGAGTATTCGAGTGCTTACTTATCGTTCCAGTCTGGTATGAGGATTCCAAGTTATCTAAATTGTTCGTCCTATTGGAGTCCAAGGTATCGGATTTGTTTAACAGAGATAAGTGGGGTATTATTAATGGGTACTGTAAGACAGGAAGTTTACGACGAAGGGTAAAGGTGATTTGATGGAATTTATTTAAATCCTCCTGAACAAAATTAAACTTCAAGGCCCTTTTTGAAACAAAAAAAGATTGGTTGGGTTTCGGTTTGTAAAGGAAACATGGTGGACGATATGAGGGAAAAGGGGAAGTCACTAAATTGTACTACCAAAATTTAACTTTTTGTTCACAATAATGGTACAATAATATATTATTTTAAAATTTTCATTCAAGTAAAAAAGCTTTTGAATTTTTTTAAACATACTTTAAAATGACATCACAACTTTACTTTAAAAATTAAAGGTTTTGGAAATTCTTGTTGTACCATTTTAAGTAGTATTTAGATTTTCTTTTAAAAAGTGATGATTGTTCTATCGGATTGGTTGAATATTTTCAGAGGAATTCGATTTTCGAAAATAAATCGATTAGGGTACATCTTGACAATTGGCGATTCTTATCAAATTAAAATAATAAGATGCTTTTTTATTATTAAATTTAAGTTTAAATGCTTATACTTACTTATCCTTATTTAAGTTGAAATACTTATCCTTATCAAAGTTGGTGACCCCTACCCTCGGTGCATAAGAGGCTGGAAAGTGGGCAGTAACGGTTCTCTGAGGCGTGGCCAGGGAAGAAGAAAGTCGGCCCCTGCTCAGGTATCTGGCACACACGGCAAAAACTCTTCACCCTGCTTTCTTCTTCTCCTCCTCGATATCTAACGGAATCTATAGATTCGCCGGTCTCATACCAATGGTATCTTTTTACTAATAACACTTTCCTGAAAAATTATGAATGGAATGTTATAACAATAGTACATCCCCACAAACATCTCATTCATAAGTCAACAAAATAGATAAAGGTATGAGATATCAAACACTTTTAAGTCAATACCAGGCTGAATAAAACCATGTGTTCGCAGTATCAATTACTATCAAATTTATCATTGCAATAGTACGTTATTTTATTTTCAATGTTTTAATAACAAAAGTATTAAAATTACGGAAAAAAAAGAATTAAGAATTACAAAAAAGAAAGTAAAAAAAAATATATTCTGATTAAGTTTTAAGTATAAATTAATTAAAAATTATTCCTTCTATACACGATATGCGTCTTATTAAGCAGGATAGAAGTCAGAAGAGTAATCATGGCGTATAAATGTTCTTTGTATCTGGAAATTTATAATTTATACATATTTAATAAAGCATTACTCATTCAAAAAAGTACGATAGAAGTACAGAAGGCTGTAAATAAAATATATAAATAAAAAATGGAAGGATTATGAATTATCATTTTTAAAAATATTTTTTCATAAGAGTTTTGTTTTTTTTAGCATGCATTTTCATTAATTCTTATTCAAATCCAATGATTGAACCATCATTTCGAAGATTTTGGGAATGTACATATTTTATAGTAGATTTAGTCCATCATTATTTTACAGGTTACTGAATTCTTTACAAAAAAAAAATATATATAGATATATATATATATAATATAATCATTGAACTCAGACCGATTAGCAAAGATTCAACTAGCCTATTTTAATTTGTAAACATGTTGGTTTAGAACATAAATTATATATTAAATTAATTTTATTTTCCATGCTCAGTTACAGTTACCAAGGAATAGGAAATTGGTTCCTCCATTTTATGATTCTTTACATTAACTTATTTCCTAATTATTTAATCATTTGTTCAATGACCAATATATTACACGAATTATCGCACGGGTCAGCGAGTAATTACATATTAATCACGTATTCATTTATTTACATTTTCATACAGTTATTAGCTGCGGCTTTAAAGTCATTGTAACCGATGCTACGCATAGTGGTGTAATGTATTACATGGGAAATAACGATCATTATTTTATTGATAGAGGAGGGCATAGGAAAAACGCTTAGATTGGGATGAAGTCATTCTTAATTTCGTCACTGTTTTTAAATACACTGTTTTATAATTCTCCTTGTACTTCTATAATGTTAGTTTACTCTAGCACCTTGTGTTACTTATCCCTGATGAAGCCCTTTATTTTTTATTTACTGCGCTTTTTGATAACTGCTGTAGTAAGCTGTATCATATATAACACTGACATAAAATATTTCCAAACTCTGGAATCTGATACTAAACTAATTTAAGTTAAAAATTAAGGTAAAATCTATAAAACGAATTATAGATAAGTCAAGTATTTCGAGTCCGGCCTCTTCTACGGCAGTGAAACCTGGAAAGTTGACCAGTAGTATCTTCTCGCCTCTTCAAACCTTCATCAACGTTCGTTGGGAAGAATCCTGATCCAGTTTTCAGGAGGTCTCTGACAAGGGTCTCTGGAGAACCACAGAGAATCTTCCTGTTCAACTCGAAATAAGAAAGAAGAAATGGAAGTGCATAGGATACATCTTAAGAAAATCTGATGGTGCCATCGAAAAAGATGCTCTACAGTGAAACCACTATGCAGAGTGAAGTCATCAAAGAAACCGAAGTGGGCCGATTCGCTAAACGTGACAGGAAGAAAGACCGATTGTATTATCGCTAGAAGAGCGGAATGTAACACACTTTGAGATGTTCTATGCTCAACTAGGAGTCAAAGAAGCAGTGATTTCAACAATGAGTCGATCCAAAACGATTGAATAATCGGTAGTTTAAAAAGGAAAAACAAGACAAATGATAGCTCTCAAAAACAGCATAATCGGCGACAGATACACAACTTTAAAAATAACTTGTTTACAAGAAGATGATCTTAAGAGTGTTAATCAACCTCGAAACTTTTTCCAACTGTAACTCCCTTCTTTAAATAATTGTAGAAGTAAAATATATTTACAGGACTGAAGCGTTTAATAATATATACCTATTCTCAGCGTTTACTAGACAAAAAAAGAAAGGGTAGTTTTTATCCCTTTTTTTCGTTATCCTATTTTTTGCCCCGTGATTCCGACGGCCAGGGGGGCTTGCCGTGTAGACACGTAGCTGGATGGGAGGTTGAGGGACCGTTAGCGATTGCAGTTATGCGTTTTAATAATAATTGCTTCCAACGGGATCCCAGCCTTGTTTTTGTAGAAGTTTCTACCTTCTTGTCACACTTAAATTAGTTTGGGATGACCCACTCTACTTCTGGAGGTATAATCGATAAAAAATACTAGTTATAAATAACAGGTTTACATCAGCTAGTGATTATTAAACAATTTGAAAATATTATCAAGTAATTTTTGAAGATTAAAGTTGTGGACTATACTAATATTTTTAATCTCATTAAAGGAATCCCTACGTCACATACTTAAATCCATAAAGGTATTCATGGATTAATGGTCAGCAAATAAAATGCACTTTCAAATATTTTAATCTAATTAAAAATTTTAATACTAGTGAAAAAATATTATTGGTACTTAAATAACAAAACGCTGTTTGACCGAATTATATTTGTTCTATATTTTTGTTTTCAAAATAAAGTATGAGGATTTAGCAAACATACTTCTAAACAATACTTGTACTAGACGACACCAGACATGACCATTGCACTTTTTTCGGTAATCAAGAGACTAAATTAAGACTTGAAAGATAGGCTGAATACTTTCCTTGCCATAAGTCTCTTCTTATGAGCGTATTTGCTGATTTTCTAATATGTAACTGACGCGAATAAAGAAATGCTTTCGTGATATATAAAAGTACTTTATTTAGTTGGAGATTAAAAAACAAATTGTCTCTAATGAGAAATTAACGTGAAAAGTCTTTCACTCGTGATAATAAAAAAAAGCGATAATAAAAAATAATAAGAAAGCGATCCTTTGGTTTGATGCCAGAATTATATTACCACATACAATGTTAATTTAAAATTAAAACGAACGGGTTATAGAAGTTATAGATAAAGTATTGATAAAACATTTATAGTTTATGTAACTCTTTCCATCGAATCTTATGGAATTTAATCTACAAGATTTTATCTAACACCGACTAAGCCATGGTTTTAACCTCAGCTGTCATTAATGATTACTTCTTCATCAAACCCACGTTTCATTTGAATCATAGCATTGCTTAGTAGCATTGAAGTAGTCTTCAATCATATTTACCGATTCAACATTAATACAACAACAACAACTTTAATACGAGAAATGTATTATTTCTAATATTATATTTTTAAACATATAAAAGACAGATTCTATGTCTACCATACACCCATCGATCAAGTAATAATGTTCCATAGTTAAAATTTATTTTGAAAATCTGTGTTTTTGAGTGGTGATGTCACTGTCTAAATCCAAAAATTCTACTTGTAATCTCTAATGGTACATTTTCTGTTAATTGATATCAATTCTTGCTTTCCAGAATCCACAGAACTGAGCTATGGGAGTTTAAAATTGACTCCAAAAAGTTCGGAAATATTTTGTTTTTCTTCTTACGAAGGAAAGGAGGTAACGAAAATGTAATTAAATAAAATAAACTTTTCTCCTTTTTTTGAATTGGTATAGATTTTTTCAATCGTTTTTTTTGGCAATTTAATTTGTTAATAATGAAATATCCTACAATAAATCCCTACAATGATAAGATTTTTTTATTTTTTATTATTTGAAAATTAATACTTCTGTCACATTGGAGGGCATTAATATTAGGGCTACATTAAACATTCACACAATATATACATACAAATGATAACTAAAATAGAGATAAAAGAAAAATAGTTGTGGAAAGTAAAATAAGAAAATTAACATACATAGGTAAACAAAAAAAAAAAAAAAAAAATAGAGAGAAAATAAATGAAATTGAAATATATAAAACACATTCACACCTATATACAAATATGATAAGATTATGATAGTAATTGAATAGCTTCTGATTGTATAAACTATAGACAAAGTTAACTTATATTTTATGTTATATGAGAACAAGAACCATAAGAATATATAAGCTGAAATATAATTTAATAAGTTATGATGATGAGAAAAACATTCTCCGAAACGTAAAGATAAAAATTTCATATCGAGAAAGAAAATATCAATAATAATATTGTGTTGCGATAAACCTAACGTGATTTCATTGAATCAAATTATGAATTCTTATTGATAAATAATAAGGATGAGGAAAGGTTGTATATTTAAATGGTTCAAAGAATTTATCGTAAATTATGAAGAATAAATCTTGATATTTATTGATGAATAGATCAGACTCATGAAAAACATCGATGAGGTGATGCCATAACTTCTCGTTCAAACTTTTTATTCAATGGTGATTGAGATTCCTCGAGGCGAAGAGACGATTCCTTAAGGAAGGGTTAACGGAGAGGCGGGCCTCAGGAATGTGGGTCACAGGTAGAAAGGGAGCTAAGGTCAGTGAAATGGCTGCCAGCTTTCTTCTGTCTTCTCCAGCAGTTGAGCCTCCGTCTCAATTAGCCGCGCATTGGCCAGCAACTTCTTTTGCCCACGGTCAGCGCTCTGGGATTATCCGGTCATCCACCTTCAGGTCCATTAAGGTGATGATGGATGCAGAAGGGAGGAGCACTGGGAAGTCCAAGGAAATAGTCATCAGGAATATAATGATGATGTTCTGCCTCGTCGGATGTGTTTTTGCTTACGTCATTATTGCAAAATCCATTTGAGGCTTAAATTATAGCGTATACGCCGGGGTTTTGCCCGTGTTAAATTTGGATTATGCAGACTATTCTGATTACATGATCAAGAGATCGATAACATCTCTCATAGCAATAGGCAGTTTCTCCATCGAGCCCTAATAAGACGATGGAACACCCAATCTGACGTGCTTGTTGTTTCTTTATTAAAAAAAAAAACTTAAATAAAAAATTGATAGATAGATGGTTAATGAAAGAGGAAAATAACATTTGAAAATGGCCCTAGTGCTTGCCGAAACGTCATCTTTTAAAATTATAATGAAGAACTATTTTGATGACATGACTTCTTTCAGGTGAACAGAAGTAATTACACACACTCATACACAGAAAATATGGATGGAAACATTAAAATATCTTTTTTTAGTTAAACTTTTTTTTTTTTAATATCCATTCCTTTTTGTGAACTATATAGAGTTTTAGGTGGGTATTTAAATATGACTATACATTCGCCCATTTAAATCACAAAATCAAATTATAGATCAGGATGTTTGTATACCAATGACAGTCTCTATTTTTATTTAAAAATTAACTTTATTTGTAGAGAAGCTTTCGGCGTCCTGGACCATCGTCTCTATGATATATCAAATTTCAATCAATAATAATTTTAACAATTAACAGAAGATGATGTTACATACTTTTTTCTCTTTATATAAAAAAAAATGTATTTGTCATGCAATTATTTTCATTCTCACGCCGTGCCTTATTCTCTTATTTAATTATTTTAGACAAAATATGAGACGAAGAACAATCTGTGTTTTAATCTACTATGGTTTTAAATAGTTAAATAAGAGAATAAAGTACGGCGTGAGAATGAAAATAATTGCATGACAAATATAATTTGTTTATATAAAGAGAAAAAAGTATATAACATCATCTTCTGTTAATTGTTAAAATTATTATTGATTGAATTTTGGTATATCATAGAGACGAATATGGTCCAGGACGCCTAAAGCTTCTCTAGAAATAAACCTAATTTTTAAATAAAAATAATACAGACTGTCATTGGTATACAAATATCCTGATCTGCTAAACATATTAAACAGTCTAAAATTACCTGAAAAATCGAATTATATATATTTTTTAAAAATTTCTTTATGGAGTATTATAACATCTGTCTCTTGGACATTGGTTATAGTGAGGTAGGATGACATTCACACTATATGTACAAAAAAATAAAATAAATAGAAACAAAATAATAATCAAAAGTATATACAATAGATAACAAAATAAAATAACCTAAAAAATAAGAAAATTAAAACTAAGCAAAAAAAACAAACAAAAAAAACAACACATGTATACCTATATACAATCAGGCGAGGAAACTCCAGGAGAACCCTGCGCTAATCTCCCAACCGCGTCACTGGTACTAAAGCCAGCAAGAATTATATTTAATTTATATTAATTTAAAAAAAAAGTACGAATTTTCTTATCAGTATTACATTAGCAGCGACGTCATGTGCGTTGAAATGTTTTCTAAATTGTAAAGCAACTCCAAACGAAAGGCGTAATAAAGTTTACAAATATAATTATAAATAATGACTTCATTAAGTGTAATGGTGTAAAAAAAAAGATGAATTTTGTTTCATTCGTTCGTGTCATCTTAGTTTTCAAAGACAGCATCAGTATAAGATATATCTATATTGCAGTATAGGACTTCAATATAGAGAGAAAAAAATATATATATATATATCTAGAGATTTATAAACTTTTAAATTACTCTATAAGTCCATCATATATTAGCGATTAATTTGATTATTACCTTTCGTTTCTGTTAATGCGAATACGTTTTTATGAAATTGATGAGAATTTAAAGGGAACTGGCTTTTGTTTAAATTTTTATATTTAGCCAAGCAATCTCTAAATGGCTATTAAATCTGGTCTAAGTTAAGAAATCAATAATGTGAAGGTTGAGAGGTTGCGGACACTCAGGAATTTCGGGCAATGAGAAGGTGAATAAATAGCCTTACTAGGAAGGGCTCAGCACCAGAGTCGTCTCATGGAAATGTACGAATTTAGGTAATTATACTCTGATAAAACATTAGAGATACAGACACATTCCAAACTGTTCCAAGAAGAATCTTGTCTAAAGAGAACAGCAATACTTCTATTCGTAACATCTCTTCAATTTGGAGTAAACTGAATCACCAGTCTGATGATTCAGCAAGCTGATGGAAGAAACCGTCAATAATATCATAAATTGTAGATTTGATGTTTTAGCTGTAATACACTACTTCCATTTTGGTTGAAACTATACTATTGGCCCTAATAAGATATACAAATTCTTAAAGATGGTTGAAACGTTGTATACAACAATACTGACATGGGATCCGCATGTCAATAAAAAAAACAACAACATTAAAATTCCAATTTCGAATGTTACCCTTTACTAAAAAGTCATTGTAGATTAGCGCTCCGCCTGAATAACGTTACATTATTATTTACTAACACAATAATTCTTGATAATTTTTATTTTATTTAGATTAAAAAAAAACTTAACATTTGAGAAATAAAACCATCAGCATTGAAATGTCTAAGATAGATAACAGACTCGACTTTCTACAAATACAAAACAAAATCTCATAGGCATGGATCACACTCTTACGATTAACGAATATTTACACCACAAAGTGCTTTAAGCATTAAAAACAAAGCGCAGGCAGAAGAAAGAACAGAATGCTTGCTGTCAAAGTTAAGTTTTTTTTTTTAATCAGAAGATTGTAGTGAAGTAGAATTTACAGCTCACTCTTGTTTAATGATGTCATTAATATATTACAGCATTATAGCTAATTGTTATGATAATTGTAGGTTCGAATCAAATCATAAAGTTGATAATACCAATAATTGAAAAATTAAGGCAATCTTCTCTCGCTCATCCTAAGAAGGGAAGAAGCTCA